CAGTTATTTTCAGTTTCAGTCCCGGTTTTCAGTTTCAGTGTTATTTTCAGTTAAATTCCGGGTCAAATTCAGTTCAGTTAATTGCTATCAGTTCAGTTCCGTACTTAGCCAATTTCAGTTATATCGATTAAGTCCGAATATCATGTTAGATTCGAGAGAGCATCTTAACGTAATTAATCAGTTAAATTTATCATCTGAGCATAGTCAATAGTAATTGTTTATATTATTTTCAGTTTGATCAGGCATCAGCACTTCCCTTCAGTTTTCAGTTCAGCAAATTCAGGTGGGGACTCAGACTAAGTAATAATCACGTTACCATGGTCGAGGTATGTATATTCAGGTCCGCTCGGAATGTTCGCCGGTCCATTCTGGGTTCTAGTGGCCCTAGTCTGCCCACTAGAGTGTGCACATGGCCTCCGGCTTTGCCGGCAGATGTTCAGGTTCAGTTCAGATGTGACTTCTGTCACGACGTGACTTCGGTCGCGAGATTCAGTTATCAGTTACGTGACTTCGGTCGCGAGATCTGACCGGTTATTTTTATCAGTTATCAGATATCAGTTCAGTTCAGTTATATATGCTTAGTTCATGATCATGTTATTATTTACGATGTATTACATTAGCATGAGTTTCTGCGGAGCACAGTGCCTTAGTGCTCACGCCCCACATTTTCATGATTTTCAGGTCGCAGGGTCAGAGATGAGGAGTGAGCGGGCGAGCTGTTCAGGATATTTTATGTTTGATGTATTTGATGTTGAACGCTAAAACTTTTCAGAACTTTTATCAGACTTTTATGATTTTGCCACGCTAGACTTCCGCTAAAACCTTCAGACTTTGCTCCGACGTTAGTCGGATAATAAATTATAACCGTTCTATGTATCAGTTTTAAATTTTCAGAAGTTATGTTTTTCACGGTAGCCCCCGAATCAGATTCGCAAATTAAGAAGTTAGTTTATTTATATATTTATTCAGAAACTTTGTGAAAAACCGCGTACTCTGATGTATTAGAAAGTCGGGGTGTTACAGTTTCGCCGTGGGGAGCGCCCGTCCTATTCGTGAAGAAGAAAGAAGGATCGATGCGCATGTGTAATGACTATCGGGAGTTGAATGCCCTTACAGTCAAGAACAAGTATCCCCTTCCTCGCATTGAGGATCTCTTCGACCAGTTGAAGGGAGCCAGCGTCTTTTCTAAGATCGATTTGCGTTCTGGCTATCATCAGCTGAAGATCCGGGAGTCGGATATTTCTAAGACTTCCTTCCGTACCCGTTATGGCCACTATGAGTTCTTAGTCATTCCGTTCGGACTCAGCAATACCCCGACCATGTTTATGGACCTTATGAATAGGGTCTTTCATCCCTTCCTGGACCAGTTTGTTATCATGTTCATCGACGACATCCTTGTTTATTCTCGGAACATCGACCAGCACCAGGAGCATCTGAGGATTGTGTTGGAGACTCTTCGCCGCGAGAAGTTGTATGCTAAGTTCTCAAAGTGCGAGTTTTGGCTGGATCGTGTGACATTCCTTGGCCGCATTGTGACAACGAGAGGCATTGAGGTGGATCCCAACAAGATCGAGGCAATGAGCAAGTGGGATACGCCAAGAAGTGTCGCTGATGTTCGTAGTTTCTTGGGGTTAGCAGGATACTACCGGAGGTTTATCGAGGGTTTCTCGAAGATAGCCCATTGACTAACCAACCTTACGAAAAAGGCCGTGAGGTTCAATTGGAGTCCTAGGTGTGAGGAGAGTTTCCAGGCGTTGAAGAGGAGACTCAGTATCGCGCCCGTTCTATCTATTCCCGACCCTACTTTGGAGTTCACCATCTATAGTGATGCTTCGTAGATGGGTTTGGGATGTGTCCTTATGCAGCAGGGGAGGGTCGTAGCCTATGCTTCGAGGCAGCTGAAGCCTCACGAGCAGAACTACCCCACTCACAATCTTGAGTTAGCTGCAGTCGTTCATGCCTTGAAGATTTGGCGGCACTACCTCTATGGAGGCAAGTGCGATATATTTACCGACCACAAGAGCTTAAAGTACATTTTCACTCAGAAGGAGCTAAATATGCTGCAGCGTAGGTGGTTGGAACTGGTCAAGGACCACAATTGCACGATTAGCTACCATCCTTGGAAAGCTAACGTGGTAGCCGATGCCCTTAGTCGGAGGAGTTATGGTCAGTTGTCCTGTCTTTTTACCGAGCAAGATGTCCTTCTTAAAGAGTTCGAGCGGCTACAACTAGAGGCAGTGGATTCACCTTCGACAGCCAGGGGTATGTTGACCTCTTTGGTTGTGGGACCGACTCTTTGTGAGAGGATAGTCGCTGAGTAACCGAATGATCGTTTCGTTTGCCGGATGAAGGAGTTGTCGGAAGCCGGTAGAGTTAGAGGATTCACAGTCGCATCTGATGGGGCCTTGGTCTTCGAGGGTAGACTTTGTGTTCCGAAGGTGTGGGAATTGCGAAGGGAGATTCTGAGAGAGGCCCATAATGCCCCGTACACTGTCCATCTTGGTAGTTCGAAAATGTATCAGGACCTGAGGAAGTCTTTCCGGTGGCGAGGTATGAAGAGGAAAGTGGCGAGGTTTGTGAATGGGTGTCTGGTGTGTCAGCAAGTGAAGGCTGGGCACAAGAAACCGAGAGGGAAGTTGCAGCCACTTGAGGTTCCCTTTTGGAAGTGGGAATGCATCACCATGGATTTCTTGGTGGGATTGCCGAGGTCGAGGAACGGGCATGACTCTATTTGGGTGATTGTGGATCGCCTTACGAAGTCTGCCCACTTTCTGCTAGTCCGGACGACTATGAAGGCTAGTCAGTATGCCGAGTTGTTCGTGGACGAGATTGTCAAGCTTCATGGAGTTCCCGTGGAGATCGTGTCTGATCGAGACGCGAAGTTCACTTGCCAGTTCTGGAAGACCCTGCACCGAACCATGGGGACGAAGCTGGAGTTCAGTACAACTTTTCATCCTCAGACAGATGGCCAGTCGGAGCGGACGATCCAGTACTTGGAGGACATATTGAGGGCCGTGGTCTTGGACCGTAGCCTAACCTGGAAGAGTGCCTTAACTATGGTCGAGCTGACTTACAACAAGAGCTACCACTCCACGATCAAGATGGTCATATTCGAGGCTTTGTATGGACGTAAGGTCCGAACACCCTTGTACTGGGATGAGGTCGGGGAGAGGAAGATCATGGGTCCGGAGTTCATTCTTAGAGCTGCGGAGACATTTGAGGCTATCAGAAATCATATCCGGTCAGCCCAAGAGAGGCAGAAAGTCTATGCCGACCGGAATAGGGATGAGCACGAGTATGCCGTCGGAGATCACGTCTTCCTGAAGGTCTCGCCCATGAAAGGTGTGATTTTCTTTGGGAAGAAGGGGAAGCTTAGACCGCGTTATATTGGGCCATTCGAGATCCTTGCTCGAGTCGGGAACTTGGCTTATCGGCTGGCTTTGCCACCTAGCTTGTCAGGAGTGCATGTCGTGTTTCACGTCTCGATGTTGCGGAGATACGTGCATGATCCCGGTCACGTGGTGGACTTCGCCAAACTGCAGGTCGAGCGAGACCTTACCTACGAGGAGGTACCAGTAGCCATATTGGACCAGAAGGTCCATCAGTTGAGGAACCGAGCAGTGAGCTTGGTGAAGGTGCTTTGGAGTCGACATGACGAGTCGGAGGCGACTTGGGAAAGAAGGCCGAGCTTCGGAGGTGATATCAGAACTTTGAGTTTTGAGTTTCCCTTTGTATTTTTACTGCTTTCTAGAGGTTTATTTTCGAATTCCGAGGACGGCATTCTTTGTAAGGTGGATAGACTGTAATACCCCGTTCGATTGTGGATTATTGGTGTTATTATTTATTTTCTTTATTATTATTTGTGCTCCTTATATTATTATTATTTGCTAATGTGATTACTATTATTATTATTAATACTATTATTATAATTGAATGTCTATATATATATATATATATATATATATATATATATATATATATTTATTTGTCAAATTGTAATTATTTGTCTAAATGCATATTTTTACTATTAATATTATTATTTTAAAATATGGTGTGCATTATAAATATGGATATTCCGGATTAATATTTTTGTCGTCAATCGAATTGTTCAATGTTATTCCTCGGATATGAATCTCGTCCCAATTGAAATTTAATTCCAATACCCTTTTACTATGTTATTTAAATGGACCCAATGTTTAATGTTGTATCTAGCCCAAATTGGTAAGTGGCCCATTTGGCAATAAATTTTCTTGGCCCAAGAGGTAAAATTTTACGCCTTTCCTTCTCCTCTTTCACGCGAGACCGAGTCTCCTACTTCTTCAGTGGATAAAATTTTTGGTTCCGATTTTTCGGTGAAAATCTCTTGCACGTTCTCTCCCTCGCCTCAACTTCTACTTAAGACTCGGTTGGGAGACCTCATCTCAGAATTTCAAACCCAATTTCTTTCAAAGCTCTCCCTGTTCACTTCGCTGCCTATTAAAAAAAAAAAAAAAAAAAAAACGATTAAATCGTGAGCCTGCAATCCGGCGGACCTCCATCGTTTCCGGCGAGAACTCTATCGTCAGCGTTATTCCAGAAGAGTAGCGGCGCCGTCCGTTTCAGCCTCTGTCAGTCACACCCATCTTTCCTTTTCCGGCGGTCTGCCATCAATTTTCGAGTAGAACTTCAGTCCGGTTGCCGTCGTGCTTTTCCAAGCAGTCGAAGACCACCACGCCGTCAACCTTCGTCACAGCAAGCTACCGTTGTGGGAAGAGTCGTCCGCGAGCAGCAGCTTTCAAGTTCCGAGCCTTGTTCGTCCGTTCGGCCCCGTTTCGCCCTGACCGTTTTTTTGATAACTCGTTGTAATACCCCGTTTGATTATGGATTATTTGAGAGTATTAATTTATTTTCTTTATTTATTATTGTTATTATTATTAATTGCCTATTTGACGATTGATGGTAGAATTATTATTATTACTTATATTAATTGTCTTAATTGGCTAATTGTCTATATTGATTGTTATTTTTATTATATTAATATTCATATTAAATGTCTAATTTGTCTAATTGTTAAAATGTATTTAAATGAGTATTATTAATAAATATCATTATGTGTATATATTAATATCCCTTTTTTATTTTAATTATCGACCGTTCATGTCGAGCCTCGATTATTTATTATTGATGAACCGAGAAGACCTGGTCTTTGTACCGCGCGCCAGCG